CCAATTAAATTCTTTAATCGGCCCCTAATGCTTGCTGAGGAGCAGGAGGAGATGGGGAATATGGACAGGGAAGATAGTTGAAGGGTGGTAGAAAAGCAAAGAGGCCGAGCGGGAGACAAGGGAGTCAAGGGGAAGGACGGCCGGGGGTCAAGTAAGAGTTTTGCACCCTATACAGGCTAGGGCGATCTACTAATTATAAACACAGGTCTATTAGGCCTGACTGATATAATTATTACAGAAATCTGTGCTGACGCAACCCCCTCACTATATGTTAAATACTTATATGTGCTATTGTATATATATATATATATATATATATATGTATATGTTGTAGTGTATTGTATATGTATTTGTATATGTATATGTATATTATTACATATAATTATGTACGGTAATATGTTTATTATATACGGTATATACAGTGTTTATATATATCAGAAGTAGATCATAGGGAAGCCCTATTATCTACTCCTCGATATATATATATATATGTATGTATATAATATATATATATATCCATGTATATATATATATATATATATATATATATATACGATGTATTACTTGCAAATTGATCATCATGTATGTAATACATAATGTACAACTATGTACATAATATATACATAATGTATAATTACATAATATATTATAATATATTATGTATAATATGTAATATTATGTATATATTATATCATATATATATATAATATATTACATAATGTATAATTATGTATACATTGTCATGTAGGATATGTATGCGCCAACTTTGTCTAGGTGCAGCACAATCGTCGGGTGTCATGTCAGCGGCTGAAAATGAAGTTTTCGAAACTCACTCTAAAGTTTTAGGACAAATGTGAATGCATGATATAGAAACATGTAAGTATATACTATTATCGTTCATGGATTATAGAGCTCTATGAGTACAGTAATAATCCGTATAAGAACATAGATTTTCCAAGTTAGCCTCAACATGTTCTTATATAAATGGTGCTTACTGAAAATAGTAGGCTCAAAAGGTTCTTAATAGTTTCTTAATTGTTTCTACTTTTAATATGTATAAGCTTATACTTGATTCAAATTTGTGTTAAAATTTTCTTACAAGAAACTGCAATTTTGCTAATTAATACCATGATGAGCTACAGTGTAAGTTTTTCAGTCTTACCATACTGTATGATACAGTATGTATCCAAGGAAACAAAACACGCAGTGGCTGGAGGTACGGTAGCCGTGGGTCGTTGAAGCCCCTTTTTGGCGTTAGGGTTAGGATTAGGGTTAGGTTTAGGGTTAGGGTGGTAGGGTTCTAGCTCATCTAAACTCTCAAGTCGTGATTTATTTCCCACGGCGTTATTTCGAAATCTGGGCCACCGCCGCCATCTTTGTCTCGTTAAGTATGAAAGCGAATGGACTCCCGTACCCGTAGCCTCGAGACATTAAGATACGGCTACCGTACCCGTAGCCACTGCCCAAAAAAACAACATGCAAAAAGATGCGTGTTTCTTTTTAAGTCTTTCATCTGCTGAAAAATTAAGAACGCTACTTTAAAATCTTAGCCTAAAACAGGTTCTTATGTAAAGGGGTCTAAATGGGAAATTTTAGGCCTAACATGTTCTTAAATCTATGTATTACTGTACTCTGATTATACTTATAGATACTAACTGATTATACTTATAGACTGAGTCAATGATATAAGAGCTGTCCCCCAATTCATTTTCGCGAATGTGCCCCTCCGCTCCCCAACCTCGCAACACCTCACTCCCCCACCCCTCGCAACACCCTCACTCCCCCACCCCTCGCAACACACTCCACAACACTCCTCTCGATTTTAAGGGCCTACCTCCATATTGACGAAAATGACAGCTAGGTCTCAATCTGGACATGCTGTCTGACTCTATCCTTGAAGTTGAACCGTGCGGCGTGTGCAAATGTGCAAATGTGGACAGCTCCTGT